TGGATTCATGGATTTTTTTTTCACATTCTGTCTCTCACAGTTGAAGTGTACCTCTGGTGCAAATTACTGACCTCTGTCATCATTTTAGGTGGGGGAACTTACACAATCGGTGGCTGACTAAATACTTTTTTGCCCCACTATATTGCATGAAACTCTGAAAAGGACCATTCTGTATAATGAGTACTTTTACTTTATCCATCGTAAGTATATTTTGATAAAACATTTATCATCTTATTTAGGCATTAGAACTACTACTGTCAAAGTCTTATTAATTTAGGGACCACACATAGCTCAAATAAATGTTCAGTGGCCCAAATAAGTAAACCAATAGCATAATAACCTATTTAAAAAAAAACCCACAAAAGCAAAAATCTCTTCTTTTTTGTGTGATCGTAAAAGTACATGTGAAAGTGTTTGCATTTAATAAACCATCCAAAACAGGCGGTGAACAGCTTGAGAGTTCTTAAGAAAAATAAATGCAATTTCAGCAATATTTCTCAGTGTTGATATCTCACTTTTTATGAGAAACACTGGGAATTACGTCAGCAAAGATCAGGCGCTTTACCATCTTAGCTCAGTGTGGTTTGGAAAACTGGGGGTGATGTTTTTCCAGTAAGAAGGAAGTTACACTGATCCTGATTTAGCTCCCTGGGTGTGTGTACAATGTTGATGTTATGTACAGGCCCATGGAGTCTAGGCCTGTCAAAAACAAACACCATTGTGCCCGCTCGGCTGAATTCTACTGAGAACACTTTTACATCTATGAGTAAAAGGAAGTCACACAGTTTGGTAGTGAAAACTTCATCACTGACACCTCATTGTGGGAATACCCAAGATCATCTTTATTATTCGATTAATAATAGCTTAGTGCATTCACAACAACCATGGAAACTAGCATGATGAAGAGGACATTAACTCTGGACTGCATTGACCTTTGCAAGACAGACTTTGAAAAGTATCTTTCAGTTGTCTCTTTGGATACATTCACCAGCTTCTGAGTCCAGCTATGAAACATGATCTCACTCAGAAATTACAAAACAAACGAAAATGTGTTGAGGATGTTCTACACTCACAGTCGGCGACTCCAACTTCATTAATCTATGTCGGCACCTTGAGAAAATATTTCTCTTCCTTTGCACAGTATACTATATGAGGGATATTTTTGTACCTTAAATAATATTTCCTTAAATAATATTTCTCCATAAGCACAGTATGGTTGTGATTACCCATACAGGATGTATATATTCGGCTTATTCATACATTGGTTGTACAGCCTGTAAAAGTGGGTCAGTATATGGGCTATCATGAGGATTAAAGGTTGTCCCTTGCAGCACTTTATTTATATATTTATTTTACTGTAGATATAGGCTTATAACTTTTGTTTTGTATGGTAGCATGTGTCAGTACAAAAGTCTACTCAACTGAGCTGAGCTAAATGTCTCCTTGTCAAAGTTGGTTGGTTGGTTGTCCCACTTCACATGCTCTGGTGCCGACTGCATGAGCCCTAAAATCATACACAGTGTTTTTTATGGCAATTTTTAGAGTTCATTTATCTGGATTTAACATAGACTCCCATACTGCGTTGTTCTCCCCCATCTCCGGGAGCGCGCCTACTGACTAGGTCGCATTTGTCACTGCATCCGGAGTCCTGTGAGTAGAGCATGTACAAGCTGACTCAGCGAAGACCTCAGCCCTCACTGATTGGAGGAAGACTGCTACTCTTCTTTCTCTGATTGGCCCGTAGCAGTACCATCTATTGCGGGCCTCCACCCAATCCCGGCATCGTAAAGTTCTGCTGCGGAAGAGGGGATGCTAAGGAGATGGCTCAACTTAGATAGCCCTGTGTTTTTCCAATAATATTTTCGCCATGGATGCACTTTGGAGGAAATCTAGAAGCAGAGGACGGCTGCTTGTGTTTGCAGCAGTCTTTGTGTGGTATGCAGGGTCTGTGAGCTGTTTCGGTCAGAGCCAAGACAGCGAGTTTACGTTTCTGTTGCCAGCAGGAAGATCCGAGTGTTTCTTTCAAAACGCAGTAAAGAACGGTACGATGGAGGTCGAATATCAGGTAACTGTGTATGGGGGGTCCGAAGAAATAACCACTCAATGTCTACACAGCTTATTTCATAATAGCAGCGATAGCGGAACATGCTGTAGATGCCTTGCGTCACTCCTTTCAGCTAACGTTAGCTGGCATGCATGCATGCATTGTGCAGGTATTTTAATAAGCCACCATTAACGTCACATTGAAGAATCTGAAGTTATTACCAATGCATCTTTTGTTCCACATTTTCCTGAAACGGTAAGCAAGTCAAACCAAACCAACACGTCAAATCAAATCTAATTTATCTGCCACCGTTTTATAAATAAGGTGCTTCCCGAAAGTCAGATGCTTTCCCTGTACAGATCAATGATAACAAAATAGCGTACCGGAAATAACATAAAGATTTTAATCAGTCACGTGTCTGATGGTTTCAGATCCTGCTGTTCGAGATAAACCCGTGATGCCAACTCACTGTAGTTCTTGACCCAGCTGGTACTAGGACTAATACTAGAACTAGTAAAACCATGGTCTAACAACCCCCATGGGAAATGTCTATGCCAGTAAGAAGTGTGTAAAACTGACAGTGACTCAGATCTCAGTTCAGACAGTCTCTTCATACTGATTCATTGTGATTCTGTGTGATGCAAAAAGAAAGAAAGAAGAAACAGTGAAGTTTTCCTTTAAAAAAAAAAAAAGTTTGTGAGTAAAAGTGTTTAAGAATCATGACCAAAATAATTATGAATATGCAGTAGTCTTTGCTCTAAATGAGCAGCTCTATTTTCTTAGTATTCACTGTTTGCTGTGTAAAATCAGACAGCAAAGAATCAGCAACATCACCAATCTCATTAAACGGCAGAAATATTAAACAGTATCTCAACAATAATGCAAACAATAATGTAAAAAAAAGATTATGTAAATATAACAACAGAGACCAGTTGGAAAATCAGCTGAACACAGAAGTAGAAAAGTAACTGTTGGGCATGGTATTAAAAGTTGTATGCTGCAGAAAAATTACAAATTGCGCAATATACAAAAAACAATGTGGGACCCAATGTTGTGAAATTATATTGTTCTAATTAGATGATTTAGTCACTGATCTAACTTGTTGCTGATTCATGGAGGAAGGCATTATATTACCTTTATGACTGTCCAAACAAGGCAGCACCTTGTAAGTATCAGTTTAAACAGGCTTTAAGACAGGAAGTAATACAAGTCAACCTGTTGTTTGTTTAGTGGGAGAGTCCCTCTTGAAAGTGTTAGTATTAGTTTGGCTAGAGACTTTTCTTTTACTGCAAAATGTTTGACATTTGAATTTGAAGGTGCACAATGTGCTTATGTGAATGTCTATTTTTCCAGGTAATAGCAGGTGCTGGTATGGATGTAGACTTCACAGTAGTCTCCCCTCAGGGCATCCGGCTCATATATGAGTCACGACGCTCTGATGGAGTCCACGTGTAAGTGGCCTGAATCTGTGATCATTCTTCATATATACCCTGTGGGTTATTACAACTTAGTTTATATTTGATATTTGCACTCTCTGTTTTTTCAGGGTGGAGCCCACAGAGGAGGGAGACTATGAAATCTGTTTTGACAACAGCTTCAGTCGCTTCTCAGAAAAGATGGTGTTCTTTGAGATCATTATTGAGGGCCAAGGAGGAGATGTGGGAGGAGATGATGAGTGGGCGGGCTTAGAGGAGCCTGAGGGAAGCCTTCTTGAATACAAACTGGAAGACATCAGGGTGAGTTTTAGCTTTTTGAATTCAAACAGAAAAAGGGCAAGTTGCATCATTTGTTCCATTGATAAAAATCCTTTTACTGTCATTGATACCTTATTGCGTAATTAACGTCACCACTAGGAATTTAAAAACGCCGCAGCTTTTTTTGTCATCAGTTCCACACACCTCGTCTGGTTTTACAGAAACTTTCTTCAGAGTGTGTCGTTTGTTGTTATAAAAATAGTTCCCAAGCGAGGAAGTTTGGACATCCTCACTCAGTCCACTTGAAAATGAGTCATCATTAAAAAAATAAATTCAAGTGAATCATAAAACACACAGTGAATGCTCAAAACTGTCATCAAAATATTTACAGTGTGTTTACCGATTCACGGCGTAAACTCATGCATGCTGGAAAGCTGCTTTTCATTGACTCAAAAGGATACGGTTTTTGATTCGTTCACATAAATACTGTAATTTTTATAGTAATTTACTGTTATTTAATTTCTTTTTTACCTTAACTGCTGTTTGTATCCTCTTCCCTTTACTTTAATAAGTTATTAGTAAAATTAGTAATTTAGTCCCAGTTTGTGGGTAATGTAGACACTGTGATGTCATCCATCGCAGTGTCTGGGTTTAAAGCTTCAAAGCATTTTGGACACCTGCAAATGTTGTCTGTTTGTTTTTGAGGCTTAAATTCACCATATTTGGGCAGGAGATTGTTAGTGCTCTGTTATAGGCTACCACCAGCAAGCTTGGTTAGCAACTGTGTTAATACGGAGTATGCGTGTGGCACACCGACACACATATGCCTACCAATCATAGCTAATTACAAGCCAAGTGAAATACTTGAAATTCACTCATAAAAACTGGAGAACCAACTCCTTGGATGGTCTCACAGGCAGACATAGTATTTGCCCTACAGTCTATTAAAAATTCTCCAAAAATGGCGAAAAAAGCACAAACACAGCGTAGCGGACCAAGTGAAGCACAGGAGCTACAGATTAGCCTGTGTCGGCGTGCCTCTTAGTTCACATGGACACAATCATGAAAGAATATTAAAAAAAAAAAATCCATGTTAGTTTAGTTGTGACAAATGGGGCACACTGTTCATAGAGACCAAAGTCACTGTAAACATGCTTTTTAATGGTGTAAACTTGGACATTTTAACATGCGAGTTTTTGTGTTGACTCTCTTTTGGAGCTTCAAGTGGCTTAAAGAGGAATTTGACTATTTTTGGCACTATTTGCCTTGCCTTGGCTTCGTTACTTAGCCCTGGTGTTTGCCACTTGGTGTTAGTGTTCTTTGACTGGCGTCCTCTTTTAAAATTACATTACACTGTTTAGGAAAAAAAGCATTTCATTAGAAATACTACACTTTGCTTTTAGTGTGTAACATCTGCGTCACACTAAGCATGTTGTAGGAAACTCAAAATGGTACAAATTAAATAATTATTTCATAGGCTCCAAAATGATATATGCAAAGGAAATGCACACTATGACAAATGGTTATTTATTTACGTTATTTTACCTCACCGGATATTAAGGGAGGAGAAAATAAAAAGCAACCATCATACAGAGAAACAGTGGGTGAGAAGAGGACGGGAAGATGCGACACTGAGAGATGAATGACTTGATCACATCTTAATAAAGCCTTTCTAACATGTGATCATGCGGTCATTTACAGTTGACCTACGACGCAACTTTCCATGGTGGTTATACAGACTTAGAAATTAGCCACAACTTAACCATGTGTCTGAAGCAGCGTATACTCTGACACTCATCTGTGAAGTGATCAGATCATTAAAGTATTTGAGTAAAAGGGAACTGAATTTCGTTTGGGTTTTGAACACATTTCAAACTATTTTATTTAACCCCACTAGAGATGATGGAGAGTCCCATATATGCAAGTACAGCTTATGAAACTGAAAAGGCCTTTTAGTTGAAAGGTGATTTTTCAAAAACCTGAAAGATGTCCAGCTGCTTTCGACCAACACTTACTACACATACTAGTATGCTTCTGCTACTAGCCTCTACTTGGATAGTGTTTTTAGAAAAGGAAATCATATGTCTTTTACCTGTTATTCTTTGATATTCAGTTCAAACAAATTATGCTTGAGCTGTGAGACACAGACAGGCAGGGGAAGTGGGAACGTTTTAAAAGACAAACTAATACACTCTTGGTTTTGTTTTGTTTTTGTGGGATTTTGCCGACGATATAGAAAATGTCAAATAACATCTGCTTCAATCTTTACACAGAGTTTGCCAGTTTTGAAGACTTAAATACTGATGCACCTGCTGGAAAATCATTGCCTACTTGGCAAGTCAAACTAGTTAAACTAAACCACACGATTGCTGCATGACGTATTATGGGTTTTCTAGCTGACAAACTTACATTTGACATGAACTGAAACGGCACAGAAAACACATCTCTAAGTTCTGTTTTGACACCAAAATGGAAGTTTAGAAAAGTCATTAAGCCATTTGCAACTTCTATTTCTTCCACTTTACCAACTACACAGTTGAAAGCTCGGTACTTTTGAGACCAAGCATAGCCTGTCATTTTTTCCCCTCTCGTTTCTTTTTCAAATCCCTTAAATCTTTGCTCCCTGTTGCTATCCATGTTTTCATGCCGGGCTTCATTCCCCTCAGGAATCCATGGAATCTCTTTACAAACGCTTGGAGCGCAGCCGACAGATGCAGACGGTGCTGCGCGCTTTCGAGGCACGGGACCGAAACCTTTTGGAAGATAACCTGTGGAGAGTCTCGTTCTGGTCGTGTGCCAGCGTGGTGGTGATGTTGTGCGTGGCTCTTACACAGGTAAATAAACATCTCAGCTTCACAACCTCAATAAGGGAAAATGATTTGTTTTGTACTTTAGGCAGACACTTTTCAAACCTGATATCCCGCCATCTTTGTTCACAGGTCTACACAGTCCGCAAACTGTTTGATGATAAGCGGAGGGTCCGCACATAGAGGGATTGTTTTGAAGTAATACATGACAGACCGGGAAGAAAATCAGCTGAGAACAAGGCATTTGGTTACCCATTCAAATTATTACTATTCTGTATTATTGCTCTTATAATCCACATGGACACAAACAGTCACAATAAATTCTGCTGGAGTTGTATTTAATTTCTGAGACCTTGTTCCACATTTCTTTGTGAGCAATAAGTAACATTGTTACACCCTTAAGGGTAACCAGATGAGTAAAGGGTTTAGGAAGTTTAGGTTAGTTAGTCATCTCTGTCATTTAGTGCCTTTAACGTCAGATCTTACCACAAGCCATCGAGGAAATGTTGTCCTGTTGTACTGTCCCATACTTCTGAAACTGTGTAAAGGTTTTGGGAAATTTTCACCAAAGGTGTCATTACCTTTGAAGGTCAATAGTGTGACAACACTTAACAATTGATCTGTGTAACTTCTTTGACTGCTGGTTTACAGGGGATAACATTGTGCAATAGTGTTGCTGGCTTATTTGTCCTCAACAGATCCTGCCATCGTAACAGCGATTTTAATTGTCATCACTCCAAGTGTTTCCTCGGTTTTAGCCTTAGGGATGTTTGTTTTTTTTCTTTGAGAGGTTACTGATTTATTGTTATGTGCCATTAAAGGACAGCTGACATACTTACAAATAAAAATGCAGAACAAGAATGAGGGATTATTTTTAGTGATTAATGATGACAAACACGTGTCAGTTCTCTTTTAGACTTGTATACATGCAGGATGTATGTGAATGTAAGTTCATGTATATATCAGGATTGTTACATGCATGTTTGGTTTCTGACATTTTGGCTTCTGGGGAATCAGATCAGCCTTTTTTTTTTTCCTTCTGATGTTTGTGTGTGAAAAGAATGTAATTTTGATTCTACTCAGCTTTTTATTTTTTACCAGATGCATTGTGTGTGAGATACTTAAAAATCAAGTTTTCATGGGAGTCACTGATCAGAATAAATGCATTTTTACACAGAAATACTTTGATGTGAGGATTTTTTTTCAGGATAAAAAGCAGCTGCAAACAGAACTGATTAAAGAATTGTCTTTATAAATAAGTCACATGATGAATTCCACATCAGTCTTGAATGAATAACATGCAGTAGATCAGCATGCCAAGGTAAACACACCTAGTAGGACAGTTAAGCTAAATGTTATCACAAAGCTTTGCCTTCAATTTACTTTTATTTCCTCAGGTTTGATAAACATTTCTGATAAAGAACAAAACAAATAATTTTTTCATGATTGCTACACAGTAAATTAAATAATAGAAATACTAAGTAAACTTAATAGTCTACTTGAATGTACAGAGGATGCCAGCATTTCTCATTCTAGAAGCCAACGCATACAGAGTGTCAACTTTTGTCCAGCCACGACTTCTCTTGTAATGTATAACCATTATTTCTGCATGCACTTGTTATTTAAGTGTCTAGCGTAACAATTATACGTAGGACAATCTTCCTCCTGCTGTAGAGTCTGAGTTTCCCTCACCAGTGGTTGGGACGAGCAGGGACTTGCGGTGGCCGCCTGTATTAAAAGATCACGAGAAGAAGAAAAGATTTTGGGTAACGGTATTAGTAAAACACAGCGGACAGAAGAAAAGGTAAGGAAGAACAGGATTGCATACCTTTAGTAATTCCTTCCCAGCTACATGAACGGCAAAACACCAAAAGCAACTAGCTTTCATCATGCTTTGCAGAAGATCTTATCATGCCGCATACAGAAAGTGAAATTTTTCTCTTGGTCTCCTAATCTTACAAATCAAAAGTTCTTAACCTCAATTCTGTGTAAATGCTGTCACAAGAGGCATGTTCTGCATGTTTCACTCTTTGTGCAAAAAAAAAAAAAACTTGAGAAAAGTGAAGAAGAAGAAGCTGCAGCCACCAAACACTTGTCTTTTTCTATTCATTTATTCACTCCATCACTTCATGAAGAAGAAGAACGTCTTCCTTACATTTTTTTCCATTATGGCTTAGATTTTTTTTTAAGTAATTATAATTTCTTTCTTTACTGTAGGCACTAATGAGGATGAACAGTTGTGGGAGGTAATTGTCAGACTGGGTGTTTGACTGGGTAAGTTCACTCTTACCTCAACTACTGTATATTTATTGTTGTTAAACCAGAAAAAAACCCCACTGCTCCAGCAGCAGTGGGGTTTTTCCCTCTTCTGTCTCTTGTTTACTTGGTCTTTAAAACAGAAATGGTAAAACCTTACCCATAAAAACTTAATTAGTCAAAATTATCAAGCATATAAAATACTGGTCACTCTAATTTGTATAAGCCTGTTTGAAGCTGAGAAAAATTGAGAGAAAAGTGCGGTTTTACTTATTGAGGCGAATAGTGTGTAAAATTGCGGACAAAATATTAGCAAGTACACATAATACAAAAAGTTATAAATTGTATTGTTGTAAGACACATTTCAGTTTAAATGCACAATGAAAAATTCAGCCTGACTTGCTGGTTCCACACTTTTGAGCCATTAAAGTCATCAAATTTATCCCTTTTCATAATACTAAATGCAGGAAATGTCATTATGTACTTGTTAAAAAAAATCTCACAATTACATACAATATGCTTCTGAAATGCACAGACTGAAACAGCATCAGATTACTACTTAACAGTAGTCTAAAGTTACAGGAAAAAAATTAGTGACTATTTCTGCTTAAAAGAAATATATAAGTGTAAACAAAGTCTTTAAGACCAGATAAAAAAAAGGTTTCTAATCAAGAAGCGAGGGCTCTGAAGGACGTATGATAGTAGGTCGGTTGGGAGCAGCCGGTGGTCTTCTGCTGCAGGAAAAGAGAGGAGAAGAGGTATTGGGGGAAGGGAAGGGGAGGAAACATGCAAGGAAAAATATTATCAGAAGGTCATGCATCAGTTTTTCCCAAACCACCAACAAAAGCCTGAGTAACACATAGTGCAGCCCTTCACCAAATGTTTCAGTGCAACTTTCCCCAATACCAAAGCCACACAAAAAAAAGCTTCAAGCTCTGTATGTGTGTGTGTGTGTAGTTTTACCTAGGAACGCCCGGTGGCAGCGCTGGAGGCACACGGGCCGGCCTTGATGGGACTAGAGGAACAGAGTTGGGATCGCCTGGAGGCCGGGAAGGCACGGGAGGTCCAAATGCTGGTGATGGGTTGACAGCAGATGGAGGACCTGGAGTGGCCCCCCTCACCCCCGGGGGTCGGCTGGGAGGGGCCCCTGATGTGGTGCCAGGACGGGATGCTGGAGGACTGAAAGAAAGATACGGAAAGATATTTAATATCATGTCAAAAACAAATGTCATATATTTAATTTTAGCATAGCATATATTTAAATAGGGTAAACGATACTGTCTTTTTTGATGTTCCAGCCGACAGAACTCATATTATGTGACTTTTATACTTCAATCTGTGTCATTACTGCAAAAAACATGAACATAGTTGGATGCTGGTATAACTGAAAATGCTCTTTTGCATTGGTGGAAAAAACAGTCTTTAGCTGACCTCTGCTGGACATCTGGAGTAATAAAATGAGTCAAGCCTAGTTTGTCTGTTTTGCAGAGAACTAACATTACTTTGGGATATTCAGTGGTTTGGAAACATTGAAACAAATCAACAGTGACTACATGTCTATTAATAGTAACACTGGGTCTCTACCTGGTGACCACAGATGTCAGTAAATTTAGAGTGAACTTGTCTTTGTGTTGCCCAAAACACAGATGTTGTGGGTACTTCCCAAATCACATGAGTTCATTGTTAATACAAGTGTGAAAAGGGTTTTAATTATTATTAATATTGTTTTTTTATTTCCCTTTATTATTTCCATAGTCTCAGCAGCTTTGTTTTATCTTGTATTTAAGTTTTAATGTAATATTCTATGTAAGTGTTGTGTGAATTTGTCCAAAATTATGTTGTACCTTGGCTCTTTGGCAATCCAGGTATCGTCGACAGGTGGCGGGACTGGAGTAGAAATCGTGGTGGTGCTGATGTCTCCGATGAGGACCAGAGCCTCTTTCAGAGCGTGGTACATCCTCAGCATCTCATCTCTCCTCTGAGCCTGCTCCGCTGACTCCTCCATCAAACTCCCCTGGTCCCCTGCAGAGTACAGGTAGGCAAGCAGCTCTGAGTGGATGAAGTCCTTGGCCTGGAAGTGCGAGTGGGAAAAGGGCAGCAGTTTAGAAAACTAATTCTAATAAGATTTCTACATTCCACATTTGAAATGCTATAAATAATTTTGAGCAGGACTCTATAAAGTTGCTTTTTAGATAAAGTGCAATGTTTAAATTATTATATAATTATTCCCAGCCCCCCTTTTTAACACTGTTTTAGTCTTTGCCAACTCCTGAGGGGAAATGTATGACTCTTTTATCTGTACCACTACACTCAGCAGCTGTCTGCTTCCTGCCTGCTTTGAGTAAAGTCTCCGACTAATGTTGAGTCACAGCAATAAAGCAGTAGACATACGCTGTTGATCATGAGATGCATGATGGTCTTGGGCATGAGATCTCTGATGGACTTGTTGACAATGCTGATGTATGAGTCCACAAGGTTGCGGATAGTCTCCACCTGTCGCTCCAGCTGCGGGTCCATGGACACGGTGTCGCTAGAATTCATCGCATCTTCATTCTCAGTCTGCAGACACCAGACAGATGGACAGAGACAGACGAAGCAAAAATGACCATGAATAGCAGGTGTCTTTAGATAAAAAGTTAACACATTTAGAAACACCAATTCTGGACTGTACCAGCAGAAGGGTACGATGCAAAGGTATTTCAACACAGCCAGGCTTTCTTTTGTGAGCTAGCTTTAAATAAATATATGAATAAAACCTGCGTCAGAGATAAACGATAATACAATTCCTTTGTGAATCGAGAGTTTCTTCTTCAGCCTCTGTGTGTGCTCACATGAAATGAGACTTGGTGAAAAAGGCACAATAGTGCTAGGAATAAGTGAAGTCCTTGCAGATGGTGGTTAATTATCATGAATTTATAACATTATATTAATTTTAACGCTGCTGCTTTTCACTTCTAATGTGACAGCTGCACATTAAAGGTGTGAAACTTTATACTTATACGTAAAAGATTAAAAGACGTAGGTCTGACACTTCCCCATAGTCCAATTAAGGAGACATGTAAATGACTTTTGGGCAGATCAAAGCAAAACTGATTTTGCTGCTCAAATATTCCATTTTTAAAATCTGTCTTCTATAGTTGAAGCTGTGTAAAATGGATTTAGCAGCAATTTGTCAAAGATAAAGATATTTGCATGTTGTTCCTGTGACAGTGCAACAGTTTGCAATGCACTGTTGTGATTGTTATTGCAGTTTCGTTCAGTGTACTCTGAACATAATGCTTTGTAATAAATAAAACCTCTGAAAGCACTAGAATAAACGGTTCCCCAGTTTTCTAGATTGTAAGTGTAACAATGAAATACCTGGTCC